CGCTGTAACCGACTGAGCCACGCAGGCTTCCTGCCGAGCAGGGAGCCCGATGTGGGGCTCGATCCCAGGACCCTGGGATCATGACCTGAGCCGAAGGCAGACGCTTGACGACTGAGCCACTCAGGCGCCCCTAGACTAGGAAATTTTAAGAAATCTTTTATCTTCTTCCATAGAACTCCCATAAAACTCAACATGATCTTTGAAAGCCTAGAACTGTGAACATATGACTACCTCATCTCCCTCATTACTATTTGCCTCTACTCTTTTGTATATTTCTTATCTAACCCCTCCTGCAATCCTGAATATACAGCGGATCTTCATCAGAATACAGAGCCATTAAAAAAGGCATTCAGGGATTAGACTGTAAATTATTGCAACTTTAAATATAGTCCAAGTGACAGAGAATTACTGGCAGTTTTAGAGTATGAAGTCAAAGATTTGACATCTGATGATTAGTTTATCCTTTCCTTAAAAAAAAAAAAAAGCTTTATTGGGGTGCCTGAGTAGCTTATTCAGTTAAGCATCTGCATTCGGCTCAGGTCATGATCCTGGGGTCCTGGGATCGAGCCCCTTCTCCCTCTCCATCTCTCTCGTTCTCTCTCTCAAATAAGTAAATTTAAAAAAAATCTTTAAAAAATAGCTTTATTGGTATATATTTTACATACCATAAAATTCACCCATTTACAGTATACAGCTAGTAGTTTGAACTTAGTATATTCCAGAAGTGTTTCAACCATTCCACAATCAAGAACATTTCTAGGCAACCGCTAGTGTGCTTTGTCTTCATAGACTTACTATTCTGGACATTCCCTGTAAGTAGACTAAAGCAATATGTGGCCTTTTGGCTGGCTTCAAATCTTTTGGTTAACATAATAGTTTCAAGACTCACTCATAGTGTAACATGTATCAGTATCTTTTTTCCTTTTATGAATGAATAATATTTTATTGTATGGATATGCCATATTTTGTTTATCCATTCATCAGTGAACGGATATTTGAGTTGTTTCCACTTTTTGGCTATTATGAACAGTGTTGCTATGAACATCAATGTACAGATATTTGTGTAGACATGTTTCCTTTCTCTTGGGTGTGTGCCTAGGATTAGAATTGCTGGTTCACATGGTAACTGTATTTAGCATTTTGAAGAACTACCAGACTGTTGCTGTACTGTGTTACATTCCCAGCAATGTAAAAAGGGTTTAATTTCACTATATCCTTGTTACTGTCTTTTTCTTATTTTAGCATACTAGTGGATATGGTTTTCAGGTGCTTGTTGGCCATTTTCTTATCTTCTTTGGAGAAATCTGTCAAGATCCTGTGCCCATTTTTGAAGTGGTTTATTTGTGTCTTCATCATTGAGTTTTTAGAGTTCTATATTCTGGGGTCTAAGTCCCTTGTCAGACAAATCATTTGCAAATATTTTCTTCCATTCTGAGGGTTTTTTCACTTTCCTGATGGTATTGTTTGGTATGTTCTCTCGTGTTTCCACATATAGGAGTCCTACAAGTCAGCTGTACACTGTCAGAAATCATCCACAACTACCTGTTTGCCCCTTGTTAGCTGAATTGGTGGTGGTGAACGTTTGTTCTTTGGTGGGCCACATAAAGAGGGAGAGGATCCCAGTTGTTACGGGCCTACTTGCCTTTGCTCACTAGGTGTCGCTCTGTTCTCATTTATCTTTATAAGGCTTCATAAGACTTTAAAAGCCTTCAAGTGGGGCTTTTCTTCCCACTTTGTATCTAATGCAACACAGTAGGGATCCCTGGAAATTTATCTGTCTTTAAGCTTAAAAGGACTTTATGCCAAAAGTAATTCTGGATGTATAAGATCCTTGTCATATCACTGTTTAAAGTATTAATTAAGCGTGATTTTTTCCAAACCATTCTGTCACCCTGGTTCTTAATTTCCTCTCACACAGTTCAGTATATAGAATCCAGATGCTCACAAGAACTTTAGTTCTGGTCTCAATCCTTTTATACCCACAGAATGACAGGGTGGCCACCCAGTTGGCTGTGAGCATTCGTGTACAAGGAGACAGACGTCTCAGCAGCGTACGCCGCTGCTGTGCCCTTACCCGCTACGACGCTCACAAGATGAGCCAAGACGCGTTTGCCGTCATCAGGAACTGTAACACTTCAGGGATCAAAACTGACTGGTGAGTTGAATTCTAGCTTGTTTTCTCAGAAGACACTTGTACCCTAACTTGGTCTAAACTTCGTGGGTATATAGCTTTCTAGTTGGGGCAGGTTCTTGGTGACTTTTGCTAGTGGGACCTACCCCGGAGAGGAACGGCAGAACACAACAGAAACACCAGAAGTAAGGCAGCTCAACTAGAGCTTCTGTGCCGACATCTGGTGCGTTCCAGTTCTCCGGGGTAGGTTCCGGGGGCAAAGTAAACCAATATTAGCCCTACCTTTGCTGCACTCAGTCATTTACAAACTGCGTATGTGACCTAGTGCTAATCTTGTTCCTTTACTTTCTATATAGGTCCCCTCCCCTCACAATGCTCTTCCTCTGTGCTACCAAATTCTCCGCCCCTGCCCCTTCATCTTGCACAGACATCACCACCTTCTTGAGCAATGACCCAAGTTCTCTGCCAAAGGAGCCAGTTACCAGTCCAGAAGCTAAGACCCAGGGATGTGGCCCAGCAGTGACAGCCACTAAGAAAGCAACCACTTCTCTGGAATCATTCTTCCAAAAAGCTGCAGAAAAGCAGAAAGTCAAAGAAGCTTCACTGTCATCTCTTACTGCCACTACCCAGGCCCCCATGAGCAATTCACCATCCAAGCCCTCCTTACCTTTCCAAACCAGTCGTATTACGGGAACTGAGCCCTTCTTTAAGCTGAAGAGTCTACTTCTAAAACAGAAACAGCCTAATAATCCTTCAGTTTTCTTCACTCCACAAAATCCACAGTCCAGCTGTAAAGAGTTAACAAACTGTCTTCCAGCAGAGTATCCAGACTGCACCCCTGTCTGTCAAGCAGCATTGAAGCTAGGATCCTCTGAAACAACTCCTACAGAGATAGATTTGGCCCAGAACAGCCCAAGCAGGCTTGCTTCTTTAACTTCCAGCTCTGCTCTGGAGGTGGCTCAGAAATCAACTACTGCCCCAATTACTATGGCAGCTGAGGACCAAGTGCCCTGTGAGAAGTGTGGCTCTCTGGTACCTGTATGGGAGATGCCAGAACATATGGACTATCATTTTGCATTGGAGTTGCAGAAATCCTTTTTGCAGCCCCACTCCTCAAACTCACAGGCTGTTCCTGCCAGTTCTCCTCAAAGCAAAAGAAATCCCAAGAGCCCTTCAGCCTCCAGTAATAAACGCCCTAGGCCTGAGGGCATGCAGACATTGGAATCATTTTTTAAGCCATTAACACACTAGTGCTGCCCTCAGGCTTGTTGCAGGGTTTTAATATTTTACCTGTAAATTAGGAGGTGGAAATATGCTCACTTCGCAAGGAAATCTGTAACTTTATGAAATTTTTAGTAAGAGAAATAATCCAGTTAGATGCGGAGTTAAAACTCCCATCTCTTCACATGCATGGATCCCGATTCCATTGCCGACAGAGATGTAAAAACTAACTTATCTTGCAGATTATCACTGCTTTGAGTTTGTTTTTTTTTAAGATTTTATTTATTAGAGAGAATGAGAGAGAGAGAGAGAGAGCATGAGAGCAGGGAGGGTCAGAGGGAGAAGCAGATTCCCCGCTGAGCAGGGAGCCCGATGTGGGACCCAATCCTGAGACTCCAGAATCATGACCTGAGCCGAAGGCAGTCACTTAACCAACTGAGCCACCCAGCCACCCCTGCTTTGAGTTTTTAATCATCAGAGTTTAGGGAGGCGGTGTCAGAGTACAAATGTGTGGGCCTTGAAGCCTAGGAGAGGCACTTTCCTCATCTGTACAACTGATAAACCTTACAGATTATGGGAGATTAAGGACAGTGTATTTAAAGTGCATGGCTTAAAGATGGCACAAAATAGGAACTGAGAAAAAAAACGTTTTTTTAAAAAATTTTCCCCAAGCTTTGTGACGGGGGCAGTTCAGATAATGCTTTGACCAAAATGTGAGGTTTGAGAACATGAGGTGAAGACCTGAAACCCTAAAGTGATAACTAGTTTAGGGTAGGGCTCTGTACACAGAAGCTGCTCAATAAATACTGCATTTCATACAAGTAAATCCTGTTATGGCCACAGTTTTAGCCACTGGCCCTTCTTCCTCTTGCATTTGGTCTAGTGTAGAATGAGATTGTTAATGGACCAGTGCAGGAACTCTGTTTAGATTGGGTAAGTTATGCTCAGAACTAGATCATCTCTAGAATCTTCCTGGGCTGAGTGTGATTTTGAAGAACAGCATCAGGGTCATCAGGGAACTTGTTAGAAATTGTCTTAGCCTTGGGGCGCCTGGGTGGCTCGATCGTTAGGCGTCTGCCTTCGGCTCAGGTTGCAATCCCAGCTGGGGTACTGGGGTCCTGGGATCGAGCCCCGCATCGGGCTCCCTGCTCAGCGGGAAGCCTGCTTCTCCCTCTCCCACTCCCCCTGCTTGTGTTCCCTCTCTCGCTGTCTCTGTCGAATAAATAAAATCTTTAAAAAAAAAAAATTGTCTCAGCCTTACCCCCATTCCTACTGAATCAGAATCTGTATGTTAACAGGATTCTCCAGGGTGTTTGAGAAATACTGATCTAGAAGATGCCGTGGCCAGCCAGGTTTGTAGAGGGCAATGACATTTCCTTAAACCCTAAAGTACAAACTTAAGAGGTAGTGCTTGGCTTTCAGGGTCACTGGCATGTTCCTCTCTTCCCTTTGGATGTCTGAATATTTAGCTTAGGGTTTATTGTAGCTTTCTGCACTTGTCCCTGTTTATAGTACTGTGTTCTTAATCTGCATTCTTCTATGTGGAAAATCAGCTTTTTTGATATGGGAAACCTTGTGTTACACAGAGAACCCAACTGAAGATGAATTGAACTAGGTGGTGTTGGGGGAAGTGAGTAGGAAGAATGGTGTACGTATCCCTCCTCTCATACATAATACACAAACCAACTGCTTTTCAAACTTATTTATAAATTGTGGGGTCTGTATTTGGTTTGAAGAAGGGGGCAGCATTTGAAAAATGCTGAGTGTAGCAGAAAATTACTTCTTCCTTCAAAAATATTTTCCTCTTGTAGCAGTTGAATACTGTGTACATGGCCCTTTCCTACTAGTAGATTTGTAGTTTCTTGAGGGCAAGAATTCTTCACAGTGCCTTGCACATAATAGGTGCTTGAGATTCACTGGATGAAACATATGTAGTAAATAATTTTAGATGATTACTGGAACTGGGAGTAAAAATGTACATGCCACTGGTGTGGTGCTAGGGGGGCTGCTTTATACATCTTTTTATTCTCCTAAATGTTCCATTAATGTATCAAGGTATAACTCACTGGTTCCTGAAGATGTCTTACTAAATACTGGTATCATGGGACACCTGCGTGGCTCATAAAAGCGCCTGCCTTCAGCTCAGGTCATGATCCCTCAGTCCTGGGATCGCGTCTCGCCTGCTGCTCTCTCTGCCTGCCCCCCACCCCCAACTTGTGTGTGCTCTCTGACAAATAAATGAATAAAATCTTTAAAAAAATAAGTACTGAGATCATTTTCTAAAATTTCCTTTCTTAATCCAGTGGAAAAAAACCAAAAACCTAAAATGAAACAATACTCTCCTTCGGTTACTATACAGATTAAGTGGAACAAATTTGGAACACTTTGATTGGAAAGAGTCATATAGAAAAGCAATGTGGTAGAAACTCTGGTTTCATTGGACTTCTAGAGGCCAAGACGGGGGGAATGGGTAACTAGTCACGACAATACCAGCAACACGCCTTCTGTTTTCTTGGAAATGCCAACCCTGCCCCAGCATACTGACAATTAGCCTGTGGAGGGGACAGCAGACGGACATGCAAAAGTCAGTGTTGGGTGAAAGCTATAGTACCTTTTTGCTGAATACAACCTACTCTCATGGCTGTTTATCAGCAATGGCACACAAGGAAGTAAATAGCTCTTAGTCCCCAACACAGGAGGAAGGGGAAGTTCTTCAACCACAGGCTTCTTACAGTAGCAAGTTAAGCCAGTGATATTTTTTTAAAAACAGCAGAGCTTGAATAGTTAGGGAAGCTACTACTTTAATACCCTGGAGATGGGGGCGCCTGGGTGGCTCAGTCGTTCAGCTTCCCACTCTTGATTTCAGCTCACGTCATGATCTTGGGGTCTTGAGATCAAGCCCTGTGTCAGGCCCAGCTTGGGAGATTTTCTTCTCTCTCTCTGTCCACCCCCCACCCCCACCCAACACCAACCCGGATGCTCGCTGGCACACACTCTCCCTCTTAAAAACAAACAAAAAAAAACCCCTGGAGACAGAATGCCTCATGGGACCCTGGGCCACATTTATCATCAAGTTTCTTTTGTAAGGATCAGTACTAAAAACGCAGTTCCATAAAACATGACAGGTACTCTGAACACAAACAGGAAGAAAGGACTAAGGTTTCGCTGGGTGGCCCTCAGAGCTCCAAGAAGCCAGTTTAGGCTATGTAAACTTCACTTCAGGCTATTTTGCATCGCTAGGGAAAGCCTGAGGGCCAGATTACCATGACTCTAAGATCCATTCTTCATTAAGTAGCTGGCATGCTAATCTCCAAATCTCTGACAGGGCACAGGAGTGGTCTCCTCACCACTGTGACCACAGCAGGGGGCCACCTCCTCAAGGGTGGGGTGGTTTACCTATCTCAGCTGAAAAGGCGGCAGTTCCACTTTCTATTCTGCTCACTCCGAGAACTATGCACATAGGCCAGAATAGCCAGGTCACAATACCAGAACACTGATCGCATGGGAAGGAGAGGAAAGGAAAAATGGTGAGTGAGACACCAGATGGGTTCTTTCCCCATTCAGGGCTCAGCAGTGTTAGGGTTTCACTTGTCTGATCCTGAAGAGGAATCTAGCTCTGGAAGCTGAGCCCGTATCTTAAGCATAAGCACAGTGTATTCAATAAAACATTTTTTATTCTGTACAATATATACGTGTGTATTTAAATATATATGTATATATCTGTGTGTGTGGATGTATAGATATGTGTGTGTGTGTATACATATATATATACACACACACACACACACATATATGCAGAGAAACCTGAACCAACAAATCCCTGAGTCCGGGGAACCCAGGACATTAACAAAGGGAAAGGAGGGAGTCCATGCCCTAAAAGAGTAGGAAATATGGCAACATCTTTCCCTTTCCTCCAGGTTCCCTGCAACAGAGGGAGGACTTACATGGGAGCAGGAAGGGGGGGGAAAGGGTGGCAGGATGAGGAGCTGTGGGTCAGGTCCCCAGTCACTCGTCTGGGAAAGTAAAACACTGTTTGATCCATTATTAAAACCAACAAATCACTGCAGAGGAGGGGACAAGACTGATTGACATGCAGCTGACCTTCGGTATGCCAAACCTGAGCTTGGCAGCCCCACGCCTGGGCCAGCACGACAAATAGCACCTGTGGGGCCTATGAGCAGAGAAATGGGAAATGGCCCTTGAGTGAAGAAGGGAAAGGAGACAAAGCTGAGGAACAGACCTCATGTCTCAGCACAAGGTGGGAGCTCTGTCCCTGTGCCATTTCTTCAGACCCTAGGCCACCAGATGGCCAGGAGCAAATGTCTTTTGTCCACAGTCAAGTAGAGATGGGCAACTTACATGGCCTTGAGAAGAGGTATAGAAAAAGGAGTGCTTTCGAGGACCACCCCCAGTTGTTGTGACAATTCCTGAAGTGCAGGGACCACACCGGCAAATCATGCCCAGTCTCGACAGTGGGGCCAAGGTGGCGGCGGTCAGCTCCCTCCAGTAGACAGGCCATGGGGTTGCCAGGGTTGATGAGCCAACCAGGTGGGCACACAGCTGCTGAGCACTGCCCTGAATTCTCCTGTCTTCTCCCTCAGGACCGCCCCTCCCTGGCCACACCGAGCTTGGCACCTCTCCAGAAAGGTGGCAGGGAGCATGGGGCAGAGAGCACTGGTCTCTCCCTTGCCTATTAACACACAGAGCCGCCAACAGTGGGCAGCATGGCCAGAAGTCACCTTATGTATTGTAGGGACAGGAATGCAGCTGTGCCTGCCTGGAGGAGTTCAGAAGCCCATGTTGGCCTGGGCCTCTCCTGCTGCAATGGCTTGTACATCAGTGACATGGCCGATGCCCTTGGTGACACCCTCCCGGAACAGCAGCTTGGCGCCCACCTTCAGGTACTCTGGGTGTTTCAGGAAGCGGAAACGTACCACTGCCTTCTCCCCTGTCCGCAGCTTGTCCTGCAGCAGATACGCCGTCACTCGTCCTGGACAGTGCCTCCCATCCCATTCTCTGCCAGCCTTGGCTCTCCACCCTCAGGGGCCTATCAGCCTTCTACCCACCCAGAGTGGGGCTCTGTCCCCTTTGTGGGATCCGGGAGTTCTCTGTGAGTCTGGGGCCAGGCCTCCTTCCTTTCTGGAGGCAGAAGAATTCTAACTTTTCCCTGGAAAAACGGCATGGCTGGGTCCCTCTCACCTTGGCATGGATCTTTTCCACCACTGCTGTCTGACGTACGTTGCCCACGTGTACTGTCACCTGGAAGCCTCGCCGGAACGTGGTGGCATGGAACAGTAGGACTATCTCTGCCTCGAACACTGAGCAGATGGTGGGATTCATCTCGGGGCTCACCATCACCATGCCCTGCGGAGGCACAGCCCCCAGCCCAAGGGCAGACCTTGCATTAACCTCTCCCTCCCCCACCACCGTCACACCCTCTCAGCTCCTGAACCTCTTCCTCTAGGACTTCAAACACAAAGACCTCAGAAGACAATATTCAAAACCTTCCACTTAGAACCCTTCCTTATCCCTGCCGTGTCCTCTAATCCTTCTTCTAATGCTTAGTATTTCTAGGCTCCTGGACAACGATCCATATTTAAGTATTCTCAGTATTCCAAGCCTTTTTCATACAGTCTACGTAACCAGCTTCTTAGGTTAGAGACTATTTCCTTTCAGTTCCTCTGAAGCATCTTAGGTGCTTCTCATTCAAGCAGCCAGTCTCCCAGGCACTTCTCTTTGGGTTCTCTCTCCAACCCATCCTCCCACCTTACCTTGCGAAGAAGTGCACGGTCAAAGTCCCCGAGGGCCAACGTAGCAGCCTGACCAGCTCGCAGCACACGACAGGCAGAGCGGTTGCGCTGGATGCTGCACACTCTCAGCTCCAGGAAGCAGCCATCGTCCGTGGGGCCCACCACCAGCTGGTCCCCCTCACGGCAAATCCCACTGCGGCCCAGAGGGCAGGTGGCATGGTGTCAGTTTAGCACCGCCCCCCCACAGCCTGCTTCTCTGCGAGGGTCACCCAGAACATTCTTTCCCTTCTAAGTGGACTCCCTCGGTTGGGAGAAGGGGGGGCAGGGGAGGAGGCCCCAGTTCAAGCTTCAGCCTCTAATGGCTAATACCTGGAAAGGCCAGTAGTGACGGTGAGAGGTACCTGCAGCTTTGACACTAAACACACCCTCTGCTTTGAAAAAAGTCTTAAGAGATCTCTCATTTCCCTATGTGGAAGTGATGTCAGGTGCATACAACTGGGGCTCAAGACCCACATTTCTCCCTCAGGAGCCTAGAGCTTTCTAGTTAGCCGCAGTACTATTTCTTCCCTCCTGAGTCAACAGACTAGCTTTCTCCAGCTCTTCTCATGGTGAAAGCCCAATCCGGAAACAAGTACGTCGTTTAGATGGCTCTGTACAACTCCAAGGTCTCCTTAAGGCCATGATGGAGTGTATGGGTGTGTGAGGGCTGAAGGGGGTGGGGAGCAAGCAAAGCAACTCACCTGGAAAGTGTCCCTCCAACAACCGTCCCCACCTCCGGTACTGTGTAGATTTCATCCACCTGAGGCCAAAGAAAATGCTATCAACAGCCAGCCAAATAGGGCTGGCAAGTCCAAAATCTCTAAACAGGCTCAGGCCTCGGTCAGAATTAGTCCCTCCCAGTTCTCCAACTCACTGCCCGTTCAGGTGGCCAATTACCTGGAATTCCGTCAGCTGCTGCATGAGTTCCTCCTGCTCTTTGCTGTTGGTGAGTGGTGGCAAGATATTCAGAAAGACTTTAAGCAGGTCCAGACTCTCTCCAGACACACTGGACAGCGTGAAGATAGGAGTGACGCTGTAGAGGGAAGCATGGAATGGACAGATGAGGAAGCTTCTAATAGGAAGCAGAGGCTAGAGCTCCCTGCATGCAATGGGGAGCTTCTGGGGCGGGGGGGGGGGGAGTGGGCAGGGGCACCTCTCTCCTATCTGCTGACCTTGTCAGGAGCTCTGAGTCCTTTCTCTGTGAGCCAGTCAAGGAATGTGGCTCACAAGGCTCATCCCGGAGCCCAAGGGAGACAGCGAATGCCTGGCATAGCACTTTGTCTCCTGGGTCCCAGGCACCAGCAATCCTCCAGGCTGGCTAGCACAGACTCCCTCCCACAATCCCAACCGGAAAAACCACAGAACTGAGCCAGAACTGGTCTTGTCCCGGGGTGGGACGCCACACGGCAGCCTCCCCCATGGATCAGGGGTCTGGAGTGAGGAAGGCTTACTTGGGTGACTGGGCGAACTGCTGAGCAGCAGTGACAGCATCATCCTCGGAGGTGACCAGCATGGGGACTTTGTGGCAGCCAGGCTGCTTGAGTACCCGCTCTAGCTGGCGTACTGTCCTCTCCACTGTGGTCTTGGCACACAGGTCCACCTTGCTGACCACGATGAAGAAGGGCACTTTCAGGGCCAAGGCCAGCCCCAGATGCTCCCTTGTGGTGCCAGCTGCCTCAGAGAAGGAAGGCGGGCAGCAGGAGAGGGGTGAGAACGTGGGAGGGCGCAGGGGGGACAGGAGAGTTCATCTGACTCCCAGATTCGAGGAGACTCCGGGTAGGAGAGTCAGCACCCCCCACCAGCCCCGTCCCTGCCCCGTACCAATCCCAGTGTTAGCACTGACGAGCAGCAGGGCGCAGTCGGGGCAGTAGGAGGTGAGGCCGAAGATGGTAGTGTGTAGGTACTTGTGGTGGCCTGCCAGGTCGATGAAGGTGATCATCTTGGAGCTGCTTTCACAGATCTCTTCTGCCGTCCGTGAGTCACTGTAATTCACCACCTGGCCCAGAGCCCAGGGCTCTCAGTGTCCCCTGTCAGCCTCCCCAACCCTTTAAGAGTCGCCAGGACCTAAACCAGTCACTGGGTGACCCTGCCTCCTACCCCTGAGCCCCATATCTGATTTAACTCAGCTGATTCCCCATTTCTTTTCTAAGGAGACAGAGCTTGTTCCCTGCCCTCAGGGTCTTCTTCTACACTACTCCACAAAGTCTGCCCTTGGGCTCTGTCCTCGGGCTCCGTCCTTCACCACTACCATCCCATCCTCAGAGTCTGGCCCCACTGGGTCCCGCTGATTGCATGCACCTCTCCCTTGCTGTTAAAGCCCAGGATCTCGAAGCTGATGCTGGAGGTTCGGCCAGACTGAATCTCATGCAGGTGGCGGAAAAGGTTGAGCCGAGCCCGGCCCCGCCCATTGTCCAGCTCTCCCTGGGTCAGGACTCCAAGCAGAGTCGACTTCCCTGAGTCCACATTGCCCAGGACGGCCACACGGAGGTCTAGGAACTGTGGATGAATTGCGAGAGGTAAGGGCTCCGATCCCTTACATCTCTCCACGATGGGTGGGTTAAGGGCAGTGACACTCCCTGGGGACCAAATAATGACCTGGACACCCCCAGGTTCCTGGGCCAGTGACCCTCCTGGGGAGCAAGGGTGTGAGAGGTAAGGGAAGGGTGTATGCTCACCTGTTGGTTGTCAGGGACTTTTCGTACCAGCACTTCGGTAATCTTCCGGGGCATGTCGCTGTCATAATCCACTTCCCGCTCCCGCAGAACAGTGATATCTGCCCCGACCCTGTCACAGCAAGGCCACGGCTGTGACATCTCACCTGTACTCTCCCGCCCCCCACCTTCCAACCTGGCTCTGGACCAAATGGCCTTCCCACACCTCCCAACACCCGACTTCGCTTCCTACCACCCTCCAGCCTATCCCACATCCTTTTAAACAAACAAATCTTAAATCAAGGAGCAAAAAAGCCTCGGTCCAATATGGAGGAAACCAGAACACTAGCCCTCCCCACTTCAGCCCTTTGTCAAGAGCAGGCAGCAGAAGGGAAGTCCCTCGTTGGCCCCTCAGGCCCAAGGTGACTGGGTATTCACAGGTCTGCTCCAGTTAGGTAAAGAGAATGGGGATTGGGAAGCATACTTCTCTGCCATCCGGTGCAGGGTCTTGAGGGACGCCCGCATCTCCTCCTCAGCCAGCCCCACCAGCAGCCCATTGTCCTCTACCCCAATCTGGTAGACAGCCTCACCGCGGCCCTCCTGGAGCCGCCACTTCATCTGTGTCACCAGGTGCTCAAAGCGGTACTGGGATGGATTCACCAGCTTCAGCTTAGGACAGGTGAGGTGTCATAAGAAAATCAAGTCAGGGATGCTCCTCCTAAACCCACATGCTCCCACCTGTCCTGCTGTAAAGACCAGGACCTTTCCTTCCCACTTAAAGCCCCTCATCCCTGGTCTCCTCAAACAGTGAGTCCCCCTCCAACAGAATGAGGTATAGAGCCTTTACCCTGAAACATATCCCTAAATCGCTATACATCATGGGGTTGGAAGGATCTCAGAAAAAATCACCCCATACCAGCAAGGACAACCTGCCCCTCCCCAGCCTAAGACTCACTTTATATTCGATGTTTCCATCTTCAGCCTGAAAAGAAACAGAAAGCAGTTTTGACACACTGTCCTGACCAACTTCTACTTCCTTGATTCCTGCTGGGGCCCAGGCAGCTAACTTGAGAGAGCAGGAACCTCAGTGGCACCTGCTCAGACACAAACCCTCTACTCATTCCCAATGGACCTCTCTGAAGGACTCTAGGAATATAGTGAGTCACCCGTGTAAGCCAGAAACAAAAATCTAGTCCCTCCTGTCTTTGATTACTGGTGGTATACTCTTCCTAGATGCAAGATCACCCCTTCCTTCTCCCTGGGGCCTCAAACTGTTGTCCCAGAGGTCCAGATTTCCTCTGTGTTCGGGTTGCTGAGGTCACTCTTTGCCACTGGTCTGGGAGACACCATTTCCTTCCGGCCCACCCCTCTCAGCTGATGTCACCAAGAGTAAGAGGCTGCAAGAGGTTCTGGGCCAGGGCCAAAGGGTGAACTCAGCGCTGGTCACTATAAGCCTGATGAGAGACTAGCCCAGGTAAAATGAGGGGCAGGGCTCCAAAGTTGGGGCTGAGATGAAGAGAAGAACCAGATTCACATGCCTCAGTTGAGGTGAAATCCTGAATCCACCCACACAGCCTCCTCTACATCTTCCCTCTATCAGGTGACCCACAACAGAAGCAACCTGTTGCCTGAGCCTTCCCCTCTAGGGTGCAACAGGATAAGAGATTTGCTTGTTCTGACTGTCCTGCATTTTGGCACTCCTCCTCCCTGGCCATTTTTCTTTTTTCGTTCCTGTCATCATTCCATCTCTTCAAGGCCCTCTGACTTCCAAGCTCTAACAGGTCTTCACCCACAATCTCTACCCCATGGAGTAAAAGGGAGATCTTTTCCCATTAACAAAGACCTTCCTTTTTATCTTGTTGCTAAAGGTGAAGAATTAGGATGGGTGGCTTCAGAAAAGTGGTACAAGGATGACGGTCTAGGCCAATGGTTCTCAAAGTGTGATCCCAGGACCAGTAGCATTAGCACTGCCTGGGAACTTGTAAGAAATGCAGAGTATCAGGCCCACCTCTGACCTACTGAATCAGAAACTCCAGGGGTGAGGCAGCAATCCAGGTGATTCTGATACATGCTAAGGGTTTGATAACCACTGGCTTAGGCTCTTCCCCCTTGGTCCTCCTTTCCTAAGAGGGACAAAACAGCAGTTATTCTCTGCCTTAGGGACAGATGGGGCAGGAAGCCATCCCCACTTCCTCATAGGACAAAGGGCAAGAGGACTTAAGCCTGACAACATGTTATCTGTTTTTGTGTGTGTGTATATGTGTACTCAGGGACAGAGACAGAACATATTGCTCTTTTCCCCAGTACTCCCCTCCTCCCCTGTGGAACAAGTTTAGAAAACTCTGCTGCCTTCTTATCCCAGGATGCAGTCTCCCTTCTATTGCAGAAGGATGAAGCCAGGGCATTCTACTTTGCTCTCTCCAAGGGGATGAAAGTGGGATACCCTTTCACCACTTCTCCTCCTGGGGTTACTGGATCAGAATGGGGGGGAAATCCTCCCTCCCCAATCTTCCTCCCTGGGGTCCTGACACCAGAAGGAAAGTCCTCCTAGGGGTCCTGGGACCGGAAGGAAGGGTCCTCCTCTCCCCCCAGTGTTCTGACACCGGAAGGGGGTATCAATTCCCTCTGCCCCGCCTCCCTGGAGTCCCGGGACCGGAAAGAGTGGTTTCCTCTCCTCACCCGCCACTTCTCATGGGGCTCACCTCGGGGGGCAAGTACGGAGGGTTGTTGGCTTTGCCCCCTCTGTTCCTTCCGTTCTTCTTTTTCCCCTTTGGGCCCCCGCAGCCGCTACTGCCGCCGGCCCCCCTAGCCTTAAGGGTTCCGCCCACGGCCGGGCCCCCTCCGGGCCGGCAGCAGCCGCCGAACAGCTCCGATACCCGCGAGTCCATCCGCCGCTGCCACCAGCCCCCCGCCCGGCCCCTCCCCCCCACCGCCACCGCCGCTGCCGCCGCCGCCGCCGCCGCCCCTACTGCCACCGCCGCGGCCGGCCAGCCAGAGGAGAGCGGGGTGGGGCCCTGCGCAGGCCACGCCCCCGCCCCTCTCTGGCCCCGGGGTCGCGTCAGAAACAGCCGCGGGGCACCACGGGAGATAGAGTCCTCAAGCCTGGGACCTCCCCTAAATGAGCTGCCCGATGCCCTACAATTCCCAGGAGGCATTGCAGCTCAAGGGGCCGCGGCGTGGCTTCGGGGCGTAGGCAAGGAGTGCGCCTTTGCGCGCAAAGGCCTAGGGGAGCTGTAGTCTGATTCCCAATCTCCTTGCTCTGAGCGGGTCTTTTCCTAGGGCCTCCTTGGGGGAGAAGTTTAGGGACCCGCGGCCTGGGGTGGGGCAGTCACCCGAGGCGGAGGGCTTACATCAGAATCAAGCTTTGTGGGCCCTCCTTGGTTTGGCCCCTTAGCGAGATCCCAGACAACAGGTTTTGGACCTGGAGAGCTGCAAAATTCAGGGCGACTGGTCCCTCCAGCCGGCTGGCTCCGCCCCTCCCTCAGTTTCTTCCCCGACAGCTGGCGTGCCGTCGGGGTGAGTCAGGGCGAATGCCAGGGCGGAGGCAGATGGTGGTTAGCCTAATTACGGCTGTTATTGTTGCGATGATTATGCCACCTTTACCCAGTAGTCACTACTTTATTACCAGGCTGGTACCCTCCGGGGGCTGGTTTTTAGCAACCCGAGACACCGCGGTGCCACCGACACGAGGCCCGAACCTATAAACCAGCCTTGCAGCCCGAGGGCTACAAGGATGCCCGCAGCGAGTATTACCCCTCCCCTTTGTTTTGAAGCCGAACCAATCCCGGCACAGCGAGTGTAGTTTAAAAATAGCCAGGCCGGTAGGAGGCGCCTGGCCCCTACTTGGGGCGGGGCTGGGGCTCGGGTTACGTCAGCCACGCTAGGGCTGTGGCTGGGGAAGTGGCCGGCAATAGAAACTTGGCCAAGGGCCCAGGGGATTACTGACTTTTGACTTTCTCGCCAAGCCGCCTCTCTTGCTTTTTAGGGCTCTTGCAGTCGGCAAAGAATAAACACTCAGCGACAGAAAACCAGTGCACAAGACACTGGAAAGGCAGAGTGGAGAAGCAGTTAGTGTTGCAGGGCTTGGGAGTCAGGACGCCAGGGTTCGATTCCTAGCCCCATGGCTGTCTCATGATTCACCACTCACCCTATGTCCACTTACCCTCTTTCACAAATATCGAGATGCTCTCACACAGCCAAGAAATAAAACGACCCTTCCCTCCAGGTCTCAGTTTTCTTCCGAAAACTAGAAGCAGCAACAGTGACTTACCTCTGGTGATCCTTTCAGGGGTTCAGACCTAGTGGAGTCCATGGCTTCCCCTCAAGACTACAAGGAGGGGGGTGGGTTCCTTATCATTCAGTTGCACTCCACAAGGCATAACTCCCCAAAGCCGTGGAAGCAGAAGGACCAAAATCTGCAAAAGGGCCCAGCAGATCCAGCCAATTTTGCGGTCTTCAGTGGTTGAAAGCACACGTGACCTCTCTTTTCCACCCTATTCAGCGAAAGGAAAGTAATGCTGCAGAGGTCAACTCCAGCCAGGGGCACGACCCAGCCAGGAAAACTGCTACTTAGAGGCTGAGACTGAGGAACTCAGTAAGAGATCTCAAGAAGGATGGAAGTTGGAAGGGAGAGCCAAGACTATTCCCCCAACATTCTCACCACCACGAACTCTGTGTTCCCTTGATAACCAGGGCCTGCTGCACTTGCCTGATAACACTCATCCTCTCATCTCCCTGTGTCTTTCAGTCACCCAACATACACAATTTCACTTCCTCCGTCCCAATCCTCTTGTCTCCTAAGTGGAGAATTTCTTCTAAGAGATGGGAGGGGATAACCTATTCTGATATCCCATTCTTGAACAACCTAGCTTACCACAGACAGGAGTGAAGGCTGGCAGAGGAGTAGACTAAACAGCGATGACTGTCTAAGAGGAGATCAGGGTCCTGGGAGCTGGAAGGTAGATGTGTTTGGTTTCCTGGAGGAGTTGCTTATGAGGTGTTTGACTATGGGATTACACACACACACACACACACACACAGACACACACACAATTTTTCCTGGTATATAATTAGTCATTTATTCTTTGCGTAGAGTACCTTTACATAAGTTTTAAATTCAGGGACACGTGGGTGGCTCAGTTAAGCGTCTGCCTTCGGTTCGGGTCATGATCTCAGGGTCCTGGGATCGAGTCCTGAGTTGGGCTTCTTGCTCAGCAGGGAGCCTGCTTCTCCCTCTGCCTGCCAATCCCCCTGCCTGCCACACCACCTGCTTGTTCTCTCTCTCTCTGACAAATAAATAATGAAATAAAAAAATAAAAAAATTTAAAAATAAATTCAAAGTAGCAATCTTTCCATTTATACTTTCTTGGTTTTGTGTCATGCCTAGGGTAACCCCACTGCTGGATTATGAATTATTCCCCAATATTTTCTTCAAGGAGTTTGGAGGTTTATTTTTGTGTTTAGATCTTTAATCCATTTTATTATTTTTTAAAATTTATTTATTTAAGAGAGAGAGCACAAAAGGGGGGAGGGTCAGGGGCGCCTGGGTGGCTCAGTCATTTAGCGTCTGCCTTCGGCTCCGGTCATGATCCCAGGGTCCCGGGATCGAGCCCCACATCGGGCTCTCTGCTTGGCGGGAAGCCTGCTTCTCCCTCTCCCACTCCCCCTGCTTGTGTTCCCTCTCTCACTGTGTCTCTCTCTGTCAAATAAATAAATAAAATCTTTAAAAAAAAAAGGGGCGGAGGGCCAGAGGGAGAAGCAGACTCCCTGCCGAGCCGGGAGCCCGATGCAGGACTCGATCCCGGGACTCCAGGATCATGACCCGAGCCGAAGGCAGTCGCTTAATGAACTGAGCCACCCGGGTGACCCAATCCATTTTATTTTTTGAAAGATTTTACTTATTTATTTGAGAGAGAGAGTGAGATAGAGTGAGCACAAGTGGAGGGGAGGCACAAAAGGAGAGGGAGAAGCAGGCTCCCTGCTGAGCAGAGAGCCTGACTCGGGGCTTGACCCCAGGATCCTGGGATCAGGACCTGGGCTGAAGGCAGACACTTAACCAACTGAACCACCCAGGCACCCCTTCAATCCATTTTCAAAAAAGATTTATTTGGGGCGCCTGAGTGGCTCAGTTGTTAAGCATCTGCCTTCGGCTCAGGTCCTGATCCCAGGGTCCTGGGCTCCCTGCTCAGCAGGAAGCCTGCTTCTCCCTCTCCCACTCCCCCTGTTTGTGGTCCCTTTCTTGCCGTCTCTCTCTGTCAAATAAATAAATAAATAAAATCTTTAAAAAAATATTTGTTTATTCACTTTAGAGAGAGAGAGAGAGCATGAACAAGAGTGGGGGGAGGGGCAGAGGGAGAGAGAGAATCCTGAAGCCGACTCCTTGCTGAGCCTGGGGCCAGACACAGGGCTCCATCCCAGGACCCTGAGATCATGACCTGAGCCAAAACTGAGAAGCAGCCACTTAACCGACTGCGCCAACCAGGTGCCCCTAGATCTTCAATTCATTTGGAATTTATCTTTATGTAAGATGTGCGGTAGGAACTAATTTGATGTTTTTTATTTTAAATGCGTAAGGAGCTGTCTCAAGTTACTTGCTTTGAAAGTCACCCTCATCATATACTGAGATCTACACATACATGGATCTGTTTCTGGACTCTCTCCTATTTCATTAGTTGTTTGCTTATTCCTGAACCAACGCCACAGTATTTTATTTTATTTTATTTTTTTTAAAGATTTTATTTATTTATTTGAGAGAGAGAGAATGAGAGATAGCATGAGAGGGAAGAGGGTCAGAGGGAGAAGCAGACTCCCTGCTGAGCAGGGAGCCCGATGTGGGACTCGATCCCGGGACTCCAGGATCATGACCTGAGCCGAAGGCAGTCGCTTAACCAACTGAGCCACCCAGGCGCCCCAACACCACAGTATTTTAATCATTGTACTTTTACAGTATGTTTGGTCTCTGCTCCCTACCTCCTGAGACACACCCCTCTTGGCCTCCATGACCTGACACTTGTCTATTCCTCTTTATACCCCTCTAGGTACTCCTCAGTACCTAGGCTCTTTCTGTATTCATCCCCTAAACATTAGTGTCTTTAGGATCCTAGCTCATCCTCATTCTACGTGCCCTCCCTGGCTGATCTTATACACTCCTACACCAATGACTCTCAAACACATTTCTATTCCTAATGGTGTTCCTAAATATCTCTTCACTGTCCAGTGGAACAGCAAACTCAACCTGTCAAAAACTGAATTCATCTTTTTTCCATACCCACACACCAATAAACCTGGTCTTCCTGTAGTGTTCCCTCCTTCATTGAATGGCACAACTGGCCATATAGTTGCTAAACTTAAAAAACCTGCTTGTCTTCTTGGTAGTCTTTATCCCTTTTCCTCTTCCTGGGATCAACCACCAAGTCATGCTCATTGGACCTTCTAAATATCTCTAGGGTTCACCAGTTTCTTTCCACCCCACCGTGACTACCAGAGTTCAGGTCTCTTTCACCAATACACTTGGAAAATTGCAGCTCTAATTGGTATCCCTGCCTCCTCTCTCATCCTCCTTGTAATGTAATCTCTACACTGCAGCCGGTGTAGAGATTAAATTTATAAATTTAATCATGTCACTCCCCTACTGATAGCTTTCAAAGCTTCCCCATCCCCCTACGGGAATCAAGTTCAAACTTTTTAACACGGCTTGTAAAGCTTTACCATGATCTGGATCCTGTTTGTCTGCCACAGCCTTAACTCTTTATAATTTGAACTCTTTTCTTTCTTTTTTAAAAATTTTTTTATTTATTTAGAGAGAGAGCGTGAGTGGGTGAGGAGCAGGGGGAGAGGGAGAGAGAGAATCTCAAGCAGACTCTGGCACTGAGCGCAGAGCCCCTTGCAG